ATTTTCTACTATCATTCTTTCACACGTTATCGGCATATTTTTTGACGAACGGAAGTTTTCTTTAGCGGTTTTTATGCAAATTACCAATATTATTATTATTTGCGTGTTCGCACTACGCGAAGGGAGGAGGACTTTGTAGGGTAAACTGACTCGTATTAACACGTTACACATGGGGAAAACCACGAAAACGCACATGCAGCCAGCTAGTTCGCGGGAAACGAACCTCTGTCTGAACTACCAGTGTTCAGGGATTTTACCGCTCGGCCAATGGTGGGCCATGTGTCAAAAGAATCAAAGAGCATTCTTAGTTCGGCAAAATTCTTACTTGGACTGTAGCTAATTTTTATAACCTAGTACACAGTAGTACCTCGGTAGACATCCACTTTGAAATACGTCTAACTTGGCCTGTTTGGACGCAAAAGGTTTTATTTGGCATACGATATTTATTTGGAATACGACATCAGTTCGATGAATCAGGACTGCCCTTATTTACCACTTTCGAGCCAATGCTACGACTGCCCATGAGACTGTATGCCTGTTGCTACTATTTAGTACACAATCCGCGCTGTAACTCTGAATTTTCGAGTACATTTTTTTTTTGTAAATTCATGAACAGTGAGTTTTAAGAAGGTGAAGAGTCAAGAATTTTTATATTGCGAAGAGTCCAGCAACAAAGAAAATAGTTATAATCACATCACCGTGGAAGTGAGAAATGAGATTGTTGAAAACGATGAAAATAACAGGGAAAAGTGGGACGGAGCATCAGAACTTCGTCGATGATTTAACAGATATTGCTCCATCCCACTACTGTTTTTTACTGAACGTACAGTCAGTCCGCTCTAGAAGCTAGCCCAGCGAAATTTTTCACATGTATTCGTTTCATCTATATTAAGACTTTTCACACTGAATACGCAATTATACATTGATTATATAATTGGTTTGCTTTAGTTTATTATGGCAAAGCACACTAGTGCTATCTACGTAAGGGAAGGGATGCCTTCGGGGAGGACTTTCTAAGAGAAACTGACCTCGTATACACGTTACACATGAGGGAAACCACGAAAACGTCCATGCAACCAATCCGTTCGCGGGATTCGAACCGAACTACCAGTGTTCAGCGACTTTACCGCTCGGCCGCTGGTTGGCCGTACGAACTTTCTAATGGAGAGTGGCTCGTATACACGTTACAGGTGGGGAAAGCCATGAAAATGCCCATGAAGCCAGCCCGTTAGGCTGGATTCGAACTCATGTCGAAACTACCACTATTCAGCGGTTCTATCTCTCGGGCGCTGGTAGGCCTTCACGTTGATTATACAATTTCAAGGTACATAAAAGTTGCAATGATTTTAACAGATTGATATATTATTTACACATAATTACATTAAATTTTCAGATCTCGGTATAAATTACAACATTACGCTGCAACATAGAGCTAGTTAAGGCTAGCCATTTCAGTTTATGACTAACTGCTGCCACTAACAGCGGTATAATGATGCTTAGAGCATACTAGCCAGCATCACATAATATAATATTTTTTTAACTATGAAGATGTCATGTGTATCCACGACTTCGCTGTTGCATACTATACGCTGAGAACAACGGTATCTGTGCTTGTGGGGGGGGGAAGGGACAAAGACGTTTTAAATAGGCTAAAGTTGCAAAGGAGATGTTGTATTTTAGTTTATGATGGAATGTTGGGGGATGTTAAATAATCTAATAAAAATAGAATAAATATCTAATAAAAATATAATTATTTTATAAGAACGCATTAATTTGTCCCTTTTACTGCTTATTGGAAATGTTTATTTGGTATACGTCCAAGGATCTGGAGTGGATTAATGATGCATACCGAAGTACCACTGTATTAAAATTATTACAATTCTAAACTGAAATATAAGAAGTAAACAAAACTACACTTACAAGAATCACTGAAATCAATTTTGGCGTATTCAAAACAGCTTATAGTTCTTTTTACTGGATTTTAAGTCAGATTAAACTTTTGGAAGATTTCCAGAATAAACTGGCTCGTATTTAATTTTGTAGACAAAGCTGACCTAGGAACAATTAGTCGAAAAAATTTCGGATCCAGTAAGCAATCAACAACTGCAATCAACAAATTCAATAGTATCCACCCATTTCTTCCTCTGTCAGCATGCATCCGACAAAAAATTGAGCCAGAAAGAACTTGCATCATACCAGAAAGAACTTGCAGCTTTAACTGGGTAGATGATTTAAAATATCCGAGTCATTCTAGACTTTAAAAAAAAAAACCTAACTTTTGCAACATCTGAGATCAATTGGTTATAAGATAAATATCACATTGGCAACAATGAGGTCCATCCTTGAAAGATGCAGTAACCTAGCAACTACCGGTTCGAATTTCAAACATTCAAGCAGTCTTATCTCCACGGCCACTTGGTAGGCCGGTTCCCCATGTGTAAAGTTAACTTTTAATAAATACTTACTTTTGCCTCGAAATTCCTCGACAATAATAGCTAAATGATTTTTAGAGAATTAAATATAAAAATTACGCTGAATTTTATAAACTGCCTATATATGCTAGCATGTACGTAAACGGCAGCGAAAAGCAAACTTACTCTTAAAATCAAAAGCATATAATAAACTAATTGGTAACTGCTAACAGTTAGGGAAATTGTAGAATGTCACATGGTACTCAGAATTCGTCTAGTAATATTGTGGAGTATGTAGCCTATAGTTACATTAGTCAGCCTTGTAGAAAGGAGCATAATATCGGAAAAGGTACGAGTCCATTTTTGGCTAGATTTGTCAAAACTTTTTTTTCGAATTTCTTTAGAATTTATACCAATTACAGCATACCTTTCCAAAGATGTACAAACTGACTAAGCTTCAATATGGATGATGGAAAATTTGTATGCATGCTAAAGTTTAATATGCTAAAATTCAATAAATGAAATTATATGTTTTGCGAATACTATTAAAATGCAGAATCACTTATTTACATATACAGTTACGTTACCGTGATCGGATTAAATGGATTCAGTAGTAACTATAAGAATAATGAAAGCACCGAGATTTGTATGACATTTCCCCACAGATTAAAAGAATAATAATTGTTTCGGTTCCTAGGATTTCACATAATTATCAGTTTAAGAATAATTGACTAATAATAGATGTTTTCTCATTGTGTAATAGGAATGAACCAGTGATTAAATGAATAAATCGAGAAACATTTGTAGCTTCTCCTGGATTCAGTTAATTATTCTGCATTATGGCTTTCGTGATTTTCTCAATGTATAACAAGAAATTCAGAACTTTACTTATATATGAAGCATGAATACTTGGTCCGTACTTCAAGATTTTTCTCTGTATAAGTTTTAAAATTTACCTTTGCCCATGATGGCTTGGTTTAGTTATTTAAATAAAGCACACGGCGACTTACTGCTTAAAGGGAGGATGCCTTCGGGAAGGACTTTATGAGGGAAACTGGCTCCTATTCACGTTACATATGGCAAAAACTACGAAAACCAATGAGCAGCCAAATTTATTTGCCTGAGTTCGAACCCGAGAAGAACTAACAATATTCAGCAGGTTTTAACCACTCGGTAACTGGTGGGGTCGTGCATGTGATGATATACGCTTTAAATCAATGACGGTAATAAGCAATAGGCGCTCCCCACTGGCGCAATTGAACTGATTTCAACTTTTAAAAATATCACAGTAGTGTTAGCTCGGTATCCTTCCTTCACAGCTTGCTACTCGACTGGATTAGCAAGCAATACAGGCAAAGAATGCGAGGACTAGCTATTAAAGGGAAAAGAGGACTTTGCGGAGGACATTTAAAAAAAAACTGCTTCATATCTCGTTGTGCAAATTACGAACTAAAATTTAACATCTTATCTTATGGAAAATAACTTTAAAATATAAATATAAATTCCTGTATATTTCCGTTTTCATGTAAGTTATTAAACATACTGAACTTTCTTCTGTCAGAATGCACAGAATACTATTTTGAACCACCCTAAAGTAATTTATTTGTGTAGTTTACATGTAAATTAAGAAAAACCAAATCGCATTTTGCACCTTATGCAACTCGAGAATATATATATGTTACGATACAATAATCTTCATTTATAGCTATCTCAAAACTATTTCTAAATTTCCAATCAGAGCCGACGATTTGAAATTGAGTGAAGTTGAAATGAATTGATTGGAAACCGAGAAAAGTATTCCTAAGAAGATATAAACAATATCAGAAATGGTAAAAAAAAAAAAAAAAAAAAAAAAAAAAAAAAAAAAAAAAGAAGAAGGAAACTTTAAGGGGGAACTCTGGAACAATTTAACGATAAACTAAAATTTTCATTAAATGTCATTGCAGAATTGCTATGCTTCATATAAGAATGTTGAAAAGGTAATAAAGTGATTTAGCTTATTCTAAATATTCCTAATATCAAAATGTTTTGCAAACTTTGAACGTAGAATGAAAATTTTTGGTCAAAGTATTTTAAAGAAAAAGTATAAAAAGAAATTTCGTTAGGAGTTTTTAAATGTCTTTTTAATGAATAGCACGTCAAGTATATGAACAAATATGCATATTTAAAGAAATTTTATTCCTAATATTTATTGATAAATTCCGTAGTATTATAAATTTATGAGTTTTAAGTTATGTTCTTTAATTTGAAATTCTTTTAATTTATGGAAAGGCTACATATCGGTTTAATTTATAAAAAAAGTAGTTTGCACATCATGACAATACATCTGACAAATAACTTAAAAGTGCAAAGAAAATGTATTTCTTTAACCAATAGCTATTTTTCAGTTAGCATTTCCCAACGTATCAGTTTCATTAATACGGAATACTTTTTGAGTATTATTAATATAAAATAATTACCACAATTATTTGCTAGAATAAATTTTTAGCTTCACTCAGGTTTAAAAATCAGGAGAGAGAAAATTTCAACAGACCGAAAAATATTCACGCCATGCAGTAATATTAGTAATATAATGAATATTGCGCTTACCTCCAAAGTTAGCTTCAGTTAGAATCGACGACAGAACAAAATACAATATTAACAAAAATCGATTTTTCATCTGTCCCATACTTCTTGTCCAATTGACAACATAATGTAGCTAACTTCATTAGACTTACAACATATGTCATTGCATAACTATACTCAGAAAAGATGGCTCAGAGACTGTAGAAAGTTCAGTACCCGTCTTAGCTTGGTCAATAATGAAGCACATTGGTATCCGCTTTCTTGATCATTATTTAGTTATACTGATCGTAGTTCCTACTCCTCCTAACTTGAACCGTTTACGATCATTCCTGTTTATCCTACGTTTATTTTGTTTCGCTTCCTTTCAGGCAGTTCAACTTTTCCATCTGATCTAACGGGTCACAGCAAGTAGTCACGTGATACACCACAGAAATTCTTACAACTTAAGATCACTGAAGCAAATCTTACTTTTTTATGAATGTATGATAAGATCCAGATGTTAATTTGTTCCTTCGCTGGCCATACCTGTCTGCTACAGAACTCAAAAGTATAGTACTTCAGTAGGCTTCATAAATTATTCATGAATATGCCTTAGTTCCTTCTACTAGTTAATTCTTGACTGACGTCTAAGCAATGGAGAAACTTCTGACACTAGTTTATGAACACCAGAATGGTTGAACTTCAGCTATTTTTATAGCGACAGATTGTCAGCATACACTTGACTATAGGATTGCCTTTTAACATGGTTCCCTAAAATGACCTCTATCTAAGATGCTTCTAAAACTGATACGTTATCTGCCAATGTATGCACAAGGAACGTCAGCTCCTAGGCTTTGTTACATTTCCTCCCTCCCACATTATTTCTTCAAAAGCAAGGACCCTTGGGGTGGATTTTCTGCGATTAGAGCAAGAAATGTGTTTATAAATGTAGAAGGGGGACACAAAACTATATAACTGAAACATGATCATATTTAAAAATTTTATATTTACATAAATTTCAATTTTTGTCTACAAATCTGGGACTGAGGACTACTTTCAAATCCTTTAATTCAAGTATATCATTTGTCCAAGAAGAAAATGAATATTTATTGAAACGTCTTTGTTGTTTAACTGCATACGGTAAAATACGTGAGGGAGTTGACACAAAAACAAAATATTCTACCAAAGAAAGGAAATACTTACAATAAAGATATGTAAGTGACGCTTTTGGAAAATGATCTGATTTTCTTTTTTTTTTGCGGCTAAGCATACAAGTGCCAAACGTAAGAAAACGTTTATGAAAACGCTGATGAAGCAACGTTAAAAATGGCTATGTACAGTGGAAAAAAAATATCAGAACCATCATATCAGTATCAGAACCACTGACGTCAGAAAAGTTACGGAGTTTCTCAAAGTTTTAGGACAAAGTGAATTTCATGCGAGCAATGGGTAGCTAGAGAAATTCAATAAAAGGCATAATTATGTGACGAAAGCAAAGATATTACTTAAGATGACACTATCATATGGAAGACTAAAAGAAATATCATGGAAATGTACAAGCCAAAAGATAACTTCAACGTGGACGAAAACGGCTTATTTTGTCAATGTTTATCGCAAAGAAAATTAACATTAAAATTAAAAACAGAGAAATATTTTGGAGGCAAAGACAGCTAAGTTAGTTATTAGAAAAAGTGAAAAACCTAAGATGTTTTAGAGATATTAAATCATTGGAAGTAGGTTATAATTTCAACAAGAACTCAAAGATTTCTGAAAAGTGGCTAAACAATTTAGATAACTACATGGCTGTAAAGAAACGAAAAATTGCTCTAGTGATAGACAGTTGCAATGCTCATCCTCGAAATATCAAATATAAGTATAAACATTTTAAGTTTTTTCCCCCTCCAAATAACAATGCGAAACTGCAGTCTATGGATCAATTTCTTGATAAAAAGGGTTAAGACGCATTACTTCAAAAGAATTTTGGAGAAGGCCCTGACGGGAGTTGAAAGTAATTAGCCTTTATGCCTATAAGTTTACATGATTGCAAATCTGAATTGCAAAAGTATGGAATTATGATGTCACTGGAAAAAAAAAAAAAAAAAAAAAAAACTATTCGCAGTTGCTTCAAAAAGGCTGGCTTCATCACCAGCATAGATGACGACGATGGGCAAGATGAGGAATTGAATAATATGTGCTTGCAGTTTAAAAATCGAGGACAGTTAAAGAATAATCAACAATTACAAGATTATTTATTAATATATGACTATGCTGAGATCTCGAGAATCTCTACCGAAGAGAAGATATTGCAGATGACAAAAACGTAGCAGCCAGAAAATACTTGATGATGATGATGATGATGAAGTTGAAAACATTAATGAAAATGAATGTACAAAATCTCCTCCAGAAGATATGCTAAATGCGTCTGATATTTTGCGAAACAGTTTTCAATTTGAACAAAGTGTTCCAGAAGACGTTATCCGTACATTACAAAGATGTAAGTCTTACTATGACATGAAATGCTGTTTCCGACAGTCAAAACAAACTAAAGTAATTGATTATTTTTCGAAATGAATTTATGTAATTTTCATAGGTAACTTTGATGGAATGGATACATTAACATATGTAATTTTGCATTTATATTTCATTTTACTATTATTTTACATTTAAAATTTAAAAAAATCTTATCTTAGACCATAACTTCCATTTAGTGTTTATCGTAACCTCCATTTTGGCGAATTCTTCCATTTCATTCAGAGAAGTTTTCACGCTGGATTCTGCGACTTCGTTAAATAGAGGTCTAATTGTTGTATCAAATTTATCTTTTTATAACAGATTTGAGCTTATTTTCTGGAAAACTGAATTAAATTATTTGATTACAGCAAAGCATACTAGAGATACCTGCCTACGAGGATGAATGTATATATGGAGGACGTTTTAAGAAAAACTAACACGTATTCATGTTATGTTTGAAGTAAATAATAGAATAGACAAGCATCTATACATATTTTATGCATTCGTGGCATACATAACGCATTAGTCTGATATTTGTAAGATACGATACGTTTGATAATTTCTTAAAATGGCTGTAAATCTACAATAACTTTTCTGATAAAAATCCACATATCAAGGAATTGGTGCATCTGTAACCAGCGTATTTCAAGGGCGAGCTGTACTTGAATGATTTTTCTTTCTTTCTTTCTTTCTTTTTTTTTTTTTTTTTGTTCTATTTTAAAGGTGACTTCATTTGTTTGTTCGATAAATTTGCTGATATCAGGAAAATGACTAGAAATAAACTTTGTACTAACATGCAGGAAGACTACATTACTAAGGCATTTAACGTTCTTCTCTGAGGAGATAAGGTTAAATAAATACCTTTATTTTCTGTATGCTTTTTTTTTCTTTCCTATCAAGTTCTTATCATTTTTGCTAATGTGTTTTGTGTTGTTGTAAGAGCTTATCTCATTTATTTAAACTGACTGAAATAAAGTGTAAATGCTTTCCCATTCCAACACTGAATAACAGATAATACAATAAACAATGGTAATGGATATTAAGTGTCACTACCGAGTCCTCGATGTCGATAAATAACTAAAAAAGCGTATTTTATGCTATCAGATGCTAAAAGAATTATTTTAAACATACAATATTTATCCTGCAAAGAAGATAAATTGTTCATGAACGACTTTCTAAAAGACATACGCTTTTGTTCACTTTACGCAACGTAAAAGTGAGAAAACTTCATGCGCACAAGCCAATCCCCGGGATATGCCCCGGAAAGAATTACTGTTGTTCAGTGGTTATATCCATTCAGCCATTCGTAGACTAGAAGAAAAGATGAATTTTAAATCGTCATAATTTAGGTTATAACTATTATTGCATAACCTTTTTTTGAAACGTCTAAAATCTTTTTTTTTTTTTTTTTTCATTTTGTGCCCTATCAGTGGCCAAGTGGAATGACCCTTGAACACTGGTAGTTCGATTCGGGTTCGAGTACCGGCGAACCGGCTGGCTGCATAACTGTTTTCATTTTTATCTTCGCCTACTAACAACCGAGTGATAAAACTACTGAGCACTGGTATATGGAATCGCATTCAGATTTTTACGAACGGGCTGATTGTATGGAAGTTTTCGCTTTTTTCTCAAGAGTACGAGCCAGTTTCCCATAAAAAGTTCTCCACGAAAGGTCCTGGCATCCCTTCCGTTAGGCAGAAAGCCTTTGTATGCTTTGCTCTAATCTAAATAAATAATCCATTTTAATTTCCATATTTAAAATGAATACAAGACAGTGTCTGTTAGAAATTCCCTCGCGTAAGCATCCTTCCTCTTATGCAGATAACTCGTAAGTGTTTTCAATATTCGGCTTTTCTACTCATAGTTTACATAATTTTTATTCCGGGCATTTGTTATTTTGCGCTTATTAAAATTATCACTTGTTTTTATTTGTTATAATATTATTGATGTGTAACGTGTAAACGAACCAGTTCCCCTTAGAAAGTCCTCCAAGAAGGCATGTCTTCCTTTAGGCACGCTTTGCCATAATTAAATAAGCCAATCCTCATTATTGCTGCTCAAATTATTTTGTTTGTTTTTCTCGAATTTCTCTTAGAAAATCCTTCTCGAAGACCTCCTCTTAGATAAAGTACCCACGTGGTATTTGCTGTACTCAACTGAGGAAATAAATCTTAATTTTTTAAATACTAAAATGAATTCACGAGTATTAACTAGTTTACAGTATTAATTCTATCTATATTGCTGAATTATGGATTCATTCTTTTGAAACTTTGCCCGCCAGTGGTCTAGTGGTCAGACCGTTGGATGAACACTTTGATCCGGGTTAAAACCTCGATTAACAACTGGCTGCGTAGGTTTTTTCCATGTGTAAACACCAATCACTTTCCATTAGAAGTCCTCCACCAATGCATCCTGTAGCATGCAAAATAATTACATTTTGAATTCTTTGCTTTGATAAACTAGCATAAAACCAAATGTAACCCTTTTCTGAATAGTATCCTTTAATATGAGGGGCCGCAGTTTGTTCTTTAACCTTTCTTCATAATTAAAATTGTTGTGTCAAAATTAAGTTACTTATTTGAAAGTTTGTTTCGTACCGTTTCCCCTTCCTCTCCCATTTAATGATAGGAAAAAAGGGAAACTGTAAAGTAGGAAAAGTATCTCGTGTAAATGTTAACAATGTAATTATTTCAACTGCTGTAGTTTTTCTATGTGAGAAATGTTTTGATAATAAGCTGTCAAATAAACTTTACCAAGAGAAGAACAGCAAACAACAGCGTCTTCAACAAAGGTTAACCATTTTTTCAAGGCTGCTAAAGAGTTCACTCATCCATAGAGATCAATAGCGTAACTGTAAATTTTCTATTCTCCCCCCTCCTCCCTTTCCAACGTTTCGCATTCTAGGAATAAGACCTGGAAGTCAAGGTGATCCATGACGGGCAGCTTTTACTCTACGTAAAGCATTTACGCCTTTTCTTGGAAACTTACCAAGTTCATACTGACTAAAGCTACAAAAGTTAAAAGGCAGAAATATTTTCTTTGCGTGCCATATGTAACAGTAAGGTGAAAAATCCCTTTTCGTGACTTCAAATTCAAAAATTTCGGCTAAGTAATAATACCTGATCGGCGCCATTTTAAAAAGCTAATACTTAAATTTTATCTTCTAAAGAATAAACAA